GTGGCTTGCACTTGGCTTCTTCCTGGTCACCGGTCCAGGAGAAGCGTACATCAACAACGTACGTTTACCCATACTATGCCAGTAGACAATAAACTAATTGGCCTCCTAGTTGGGAACAATCATTCAGACGCTCACACCGGAATTATACCCCCCCAACGCTCCGCCTCCAGCAGGCCTGCCCTCTACACATGTGACCACGATAGCACTCACGTCAACCATAGCCCGACTGCTCACCGGATCTCTCTCCGACTTCTTCGCGCCCCCGGCCACTCATCTTTTCCCAGCAAACATAGAAGCCGGCCGTCGCTCGTCGTTATCAGGTTCAACCGCAAACAGACCCACCCTCTCGCGACTCGCCTTCCTTGTGCCCTCAGCTCTCCTCCTCTCCCTCGGCTATCTCCTCCTCTCGTCCCCCTTACCCCTCCAGCACCCAGGTCTCACACACGTAACAACCGCGCTGATTGGCCTAGGCTACGGCAGCGCCTTCTCTCTCGTCCCCATCATCATCTCTGTCGTGTGGGGGGTCGAGAACTTCGGCACTAACTGGGGCATCGTGGCCATGGTCCCTGCTGCCGGTGCTGCGATGTGGGGGATCATATATTCGCGGGGATACCAGGACGCGACGGACGGCGGGAACGGCTCAGCGGACGGACAGTGCCATGGCTGGCGCTGCTATGGGTTCTGGGCCGTCGGATGCACCCTCAGTGTGTGGGTGGCTGTAGTTGCGTGGATACTTGCTTGGAGGGGTTGGCGACGACGGGGTGTCGTTGTTTGATTCATTCATCCATACTTTGGCGTTTGAAATATTCTGGATTTGTTTCGGTATAGAGATATAGCATCTCCATGAGGTGGCGGGTTCCCTTTTGGCTAGTTTTTTTATTTTCGGCATCAAGATCAGTGAGAGACACATGTAAAATATGTTTGTATCTATTGGTCCTGACCATGATGTATTTGCACATTCCAGCAACCGATGAAACCTACTCCATACCAAGTATAACAGATGCCAATATTCTCACAAGAAGGACAAATGACGACCAGAAAGAATAGAAGGGTATTCATGTACGACAGGGGAATAAGACCAAAGTCCAATAAACAGATACAGAGCAACCCAAATCAGATATCCGTAGACGAGGGATCAAGACCCATAAACACCTTGTACAGCCGTTTACTTGCAGCCGGGCCGATGCGCGAGTCCGTCAGGGCACCGTTCTTGTTTGCAGATTTCTTCGGAATAAAGTTAGCGAAGCTTTGAACCGGGATAGAGGTAGATAAGGGCTATGTGCATACCTTGACATCTTCTAGCATGGTCGGCCCATGCCGGCGCATGCCTCTCACCAAGTCCACGACGGAGGGATACCTCGCCGCGATGCCATAAGCCATGGACGCAGTGACGCGATTCACCTCCTGGAGCATTTTGACAAAGGTATCGGCCTTGTCCTCGCCGGGTTTGACCTGTCCCGTATCCATGCAAAAGGCCGAGTCGTTGCCGTCCATGCGCTCGCGCTTGTACGGGATGGTGGAAATATGCTCGGTAAAGTTCTTGATCCATTCTGCCGACTCCGCCGCGGCGCTGGTGTGGTGGATGAGGCAGGCGTGTGTGACCTGCAACTCGAGGAGGGCGTCTTCGATGGTATCGTCGTCGACGGGCGGGGTGGACTCGGCGGTTTTGGCGGGGGCTTTTCTGCGGCGGGTCGAAGAGGAAGGATCGTCTGGGTTCTGGTCGAGTTGCCGGCGGACCTGGGCTTGGAAGGCTCTGTTGCGGGAGTTTTGGTTCTTGCGCATCCACGCGGTTAGGCCTTCGATGAGGTAGATGGGTTTGTGGCCCGGGTAGGCTTTTTTGATGCGGGAGAGGTGCAGTTCCAGCTCGGTTGTGCCTGTTACCGAGTCCGCGGGCGCAATCACCATGTTGACGAACTCTTGTGCTGTCACGAGACAGAGGACGTGGTCTTCTTCGCGGATATGGTGGGGACATGGCTCCCAATGGCCGGCAGCTTCGTTGTACCTGGCTGTGACCTTCCGGCGCCATTTGACGATATTCGGGATAGAGCTCGTGAAGAACGTGTGCTCAACTCCCAGGCGTTTCATGAGTTCAATGCTCTGGTTGCCGACACTTGTTTCCCTGAACGAGGAAGCGAGGTCAAGGATCATCTCAGGCGTGGACTCCTTCTTGTCCACCTTGAGCTTGTTGACCTCCGCCAAGTCCGCAGCGAGTTGCTTTTCCCGAGCCTTTTCCTCCCTCAGCTTCTTCTGTCTTTCCTTCTCGAGCTGTTTCTCATGTTCCCGCTGCGCCTTTGCGGCTTCTCGCTCTTTAGCCCGCGCTTCTTTCTCCGCAGCGGTCAGCTTGGTTGTCTTTCGTGCTGGCTTGCGAGATTCAGCTGCTACCTCGGAAAGATCATCTTCCAGGTCAAGGACATCGCGTTCCTGGGTCTTTTTGTAGGGACCTGCGCCTCTTGATCTCGTCCTACTCCCGGCGCTACTAGTAGCTTGTGAGCGCTCCTGCAGATCTGCAAGGAGACTGGCGGTCCGACTCGAAAAGAGCGAGTTTTCATGTCCAGATGCCTTTGCTTCTCTAGCCTGCCTCATTAACTCGTCAATATCTGGCATTCCCAGCTGGTCACTGAAGTCTTCGATATGGTCCTTCCTGGGGCCGACATCGAAAAGATCGGCATCTGCATCAACGTTATCGTCATCGTCAATCGTGATCGTGTTAATTTCCCCGGGATTCGTTTTATGAGTTGTAAGGGGTCTCGCTCCTGGCACAGGAGCAGGCGAAGTGAAAACAATAGGATCCGACTCCTCGTTCCAAGCGGGGACCTTCAGTGTTGAGGGTCCATCAGACGGCAAGGCGACGTCATCATCGGAGAACAGAAACAGATTTGTCGTCGAGAACTGAGCGTCTACTTCCTTAGGGGATTCGACCTCCTCGCTTATGCGACGTCTCTTGGTCGGTTTATCGATATCATCGTAGGCGAAAAGTGATTCGATATCGTCCGATAACAGTGGCCGTGGAGCAGAGGAGAGGGGCGGATCGGATGGAAGCGTGGCCACTAATGGCTGACGGGGCTGAGATGCTGGGGGCGGCGGCGTCGAGGACAGGAGGTTGATGACCTCTGGCATTTTCCTCGTTGAAGAGCACCGAGGTTGTGGATTAGTTGATGACCTATCCGTGCTCCGCTGCGACGTTTCTCCAGTTTCTCACGCGTTTCGCGATTATCCCGCGTTGGCATTGCGCGAAGTCACGTGAACAGGAGCCATTAAAAAGGTGTGTTTGGAGTACGTGTAAGATTGCTAAATACAATTAAGAAAAGAAGGGGTATTATACAAATCTAGATCAATTTTACAGCCCACACGGCAAAAATAGAAGACACAATGCCCAACAGGGCAAAGACGAAGATTAGCTGGTGAAATCCGCTGAATGGTCGTCTTTCCTTGCTGAGCATGTCTGCAATCTCCTCCTCAAGTCTGTCACCCATTGCAGTCAGCGAGAACTCCTTCTCTACTCTCGCTTTGCTCGCGGCTGACATGCGTTCCAAGTCCTTCTGGTCCAACTTGTAGAGAACCCGGTCCATGACCGTAGTCCAATCAGCGACGACCGTTGCGTCCCGGAGCCAGCCCATTTCGCCTTCCACAATAGTTTCCAACGGCCCGCCTGTGTTCGATGCGAGAACGGGAATCCCGGCGCGCATGGCTTCGACGGGGACAATACCAAAGTGTTCGTTGATGGGAGTGTAGAGAAGCAATTTTGCCTGCGAGAGGAGCGTATCCCGGAAGGCGGTTGGTACGGAGAGCAAGAAAAGGACGTCGATCGATTCAGGGATGGACAGGGCCGAGATGACCGTTTTAGAGGTCGCGGTCTGTAATCCCAAACTCGTGGCAAGCTGGTCTAGTTCTCGATGGTATTGGACATTCTCCTGGACCCGGTTGTCGTAACCGCCTGTAGAGTAACCTCAATCAATAGCTGCTCTCCCAATTAGGAAGAGGAGAGACCTACCAGCAATCACCAACCGTGTCCCCCTCCGTTTCTCCTCCCCAAGACCATGATACGCACGAATCGCCAACCCCAAATCCTTCTTCCTCTCGAACCGATTCACACTCAACAAGATCTTCTTCCCACCCCACAACGGACCCTCACCAGTCCCAACCGGCGCGCCAGCCGTGGTATCGACGCACGGATAGACAATCCGAACATCCCCCAGCTTCTCCTTCCCAAAGACCTCGCTCACGACCCCGCGGGTGAACTTTGAGTTGGCCACGACCTTATCCGACGCGCTCATCGCCCACCCTTCGAACCAGTCAAACGGATACCGATAGAGCGTCTTCGCAAGCCGCAACAGCTCGCCGCCCTCATTCCGCCGCGCAAGCAACTGATCAGGGAAATGGCAGTAGAAGAGGATGCGCTGGCGAGTGCGAGTGCGGCTGCGGCTGCGCGCCGCGCGCGGGCCGAGCGTTTTCAAAAACGGCACGCAGGCGGGGACCTGGTCGACGATGAATATGTCGTCCGAATCACCCTTTTCCGTTGCGATCTCCCTCAACACCGACACCGTCAGGTGCAACTGCCGCAGAACGGCCATGAGGACGTGCAGTCGGCCGCCAACATGCGCGGGGAAGAGTGTGTTGCCGCGCACGCGCACGTCGAGCGTGCCGTCGCGCGCTTCCTCGAAACAGTGCGATTTGTCGCGGTGGGAGGTGTAGATGGTGACTTTGTGGCCGCGGGACTGCAGCGCCAGCGCCACGTCGATGATTAGCCGCTCCGCGCCGCCGATTCCCAGGTCGGGGTGGATGATGATGACATTGGAGGGTTTGAGGCGGGCCATCGCCTGTGTGTCTGCGAGGAGTTTGTATGTCTGCGCAGAAGGGGAGTCATTGCTGCGTTGTTGGTTGAGCTTAAGCCACGGAGCACGACGTCATGTGATGACGCATCCGCCTATCTCCATCTACTCCGCACATGTCCTCAACAACAAACATCATTCTATTACTCTACCTCTATCACAAAACCTCAATCAAATCCTAACAGTAACATCCCTCTTAACCAAAAACATCCCTTCACAGGCCACACAACCCGCGTCCCCCTCCCCTTGGTCATCCGCAACAAAAATCTCCCCCTCCACATAAATCTTCCTCCCCTCCACCCTCCCAACCTCCGCCCTCGCAACAACAACCCCAGGAACCCTCACCGGCCTTTGATACTTCACATTCAAATAAATCGTGACCGCCCCCCGCCCCCGATCCAACCCACTCGCCCGGATCAATGTCCCCGTAACCTGGTCCAGCACCGTAGCCAGGAACCCGCCGTGCGCGATATCGGGCTGCCCCGATAGGCCGCGGCCGAGGTGGAGGAGGAGGTAGCCTTGCTCTCGCTCTTGCGGTTCTGCGTTTGCGTTTGCGGCGGCGGCGATGGCGCTGGTATCAGTATCTGTATCGTTTGAATAGGGAGATGTTGATGTTGTGGTATGAGCATGGGCCGGCTGGTAAATGAAGACGGACCTAAAAATTCCGTGGTTGGTCCGGAGGGTCGAGTGGAAGAAGGTGTCAGGGTTGCGCGGATGGATCACCCTTAGGTCCGGTTGAGCGAGGATCTCGGCGCATTTGGGGATGGTGTTGAAGAAGGCGAGGGTTTCTTCTGTAGATGTAGAGATCGAAGTAGAAGTAGAGGTAGCTGTCATGGTCTTCCAGCTGGCTTGTCGAATGGTGTTCGGGATAGTGATGTCTGCGATTAGTCGAATGGAGCGATTTGTTGAACCTAGGAGGCGATGAGGTCTCGTTGTTAACAGTATGAAGGCTTCTTTGGGTCAATTGTATTAAAATCTATCGATTTGAGATGCGTAGAATTTCGAGGACGTGCATTTCATGCCTCCGAACTTACCGGCGGGTTAGATCAATATGGTGTATACCGAAGAACCGAGGCACGTCCATGCGGAGTCCAATATTCTTGACTTGACTATTAAAAGATGTCTATGGTATATCACAAATCTTGCTTCCTTTCAATTCATGCTATACTACTACACCTTACATACAACAAGGCAAACTACAAACGACCTCCCAACAGTAGCAGTGTGGGCAAAAAGGACCATAGGCAATGTGGAACAAAGGACTACAGCCAAAAGTGACCACAGGCCGTACGTTCTTTATGGCATACGAGTTGACAACAAAATATAGCGCAATAGGGTTGCTGGAGACGTAATCACAGGGTAGACACAAATGTACAGTATCGACATAGGCAAGAATTGCCCAGAAGAAGCGTATTTAATGACTCGTGGTGAAACCAGGCAGCGGAGGCCGGCGTTCATCTGAAGGGAAAATAATTAAATGAAAACAAAAAGGTATCAACAAATCAAGAAGAAGGGGAATCGACGTTGAATTCATAGTACACAGGGCGGGCTTTGAACATGGGGAAACGTCACGTCCGAGACATTAAAATTGAACGATCCAAAAGAATCAAAAGCGTACGATGCACTAAAAGCAGTTGAGCGTGCTCTTCTTCTTCTTCTTGTTCAGCGCATTCATCCGCTCTTCAAGCTGGGCTCGAGCAGCCTCGGCTTCGCGGCGGGCATTGCGTTCTTCTTCGACAGCCTGCAGCGAGAGGCGCTGCGAGTTACGCTCCTTGCGGAGAGTCGTCAACTCCTCCTCCAGCTGCCATGCCTTCTTCTTCCAGGCCTCGCAGTCGGTCTTGACCTTGTTGCTCTGCGCTTCGAGGTCGCCCAGAGCTTCTTCCAAAGTGGCAGTGAGTTGCTTCTCGGCATTGAGGTGTTTTTCTATCGTGCGGATACGGGCCTCCTGGTCTTCGACAACCTGAACACTGACCAGTTCCTTGCTGGTATGGCGAGAGCCTGGAGGAGAGACACTACCGTTGGTGGCAGACTGTATAGTCGGTAGGGGCGGGAGAGGAATGGCAGGTGGCGGCGAAGGAAGAGAGGCTGCCGAAGTACTCTTCCGCAGATTCGAGGTCAAAGAGCTGGTACGGTCATGCGAACCATCCTGGCCGGTACCGTTCTTGAGTTGAAGCTAGAGTTCGTTAGTCGGGATCAGATTTCAGAATCTATCACAGCAATGCTTACCTCAAGCTGTTCAATCCGCATGCGATATGTCTCAATCTCTTTCTCATACGTCGCAATCTTGGCCTTGGCGTCTTCCAAGGCCTGATCGCGCTCATGCTGGATGACGGAGAGACGGTTGTGGTGTTGGTCGAAGCTGTTGGTAATCTGCTCCTCGAGTTCCTCCACCAGACGCAGGCTCTTTTCTTTCTCGGCGGTGATCTCCTCGATGAGAGAATCCTTTTTCTTGACTTGCTCTTCCTTACGCTGAAGGGCATCTTCAAGAGTGGCGACGAGGATGGCAAGCTCGTTCACCTTTGCGTCCTTGGTCGCCTCGCGCTGCGTAAGCTCTTCCAACTTGTTGGCATCACTGTCCTTGGCTTCGAGCTGCTTGCGAAGATCTTCGTTTGCATCCATCAGCTCGGCATACTTGTCGGAAAAGTGTTGCTTTTGCGTGAGGATATCTTGGATCTGGTCTGCGAGGTTGTCCGCGGTGACATCGGAATTGATCAGTTCTGAGACCACCTTCAGCAGTTTCAAAAGCTCATTCCGTGATGTCTCAATCTCAGATCTCAATCTCTTCATCGCCTCCTCGTGTTCGGCGCTCTTCTCCGCAATCCGCGAGTCATACTCAGCCTGAGCCGCAGCCTTAGCGCGCGCCTCGAGTTCCGCCAATTCGTTCTTGTGTGACTCTTGCAAAGACTCGAGGTCCCTCTTGTGAGAATCGGCAGTCGACTTGTGCATCTCAATCTCCTTCTCGAGTTCAGACACGCGAGTCTGGAACCCTTCAACCTCACTGCCAGTACTGTCCTTGGTTGCGAGGAGATCTGACAGCTGCTCCTGCGCTGTCCTGTGCGATTGCTCAAGAGAAGCAATCTTCTCAAGATGGGCAGCAGCGGTAGCCTCGTGCTCTTCGATCTTCTGCTTCAAACTCTCAACCAGCTCTTGCTGCCGTGATCTCTCAGCCTCCAGCTCTCTGGCAGCAGCCTCCTTCGCAGCAGATGTCTCGTCCACGGCGGCACGCTCTGAGCGCATGGCATCTGCAGTTGCCAGGGCCTTGTCCAGGTCAGCCAAGGTGGCACTGAGTTGCTGCTCGGAAGCCTGCAAGGACTTGACGGCGTTCTCATGCTTGCTCTTCCACTCCACCAATTCACCTTGAAGATCGTCGATCTTCTTGTCTTGCTCTTCCGCGTGCGCATCCTGAGCTTTGGCAGCTTCCTCCTGAGTCTTCAGAAGATCCTTCAACTCTGCGATCTCGGCAAGCAGCTTCTTTTCGCGTGACTCGTGCGCCTCCTTGAGCTCGTTGATCAGGTTCTCCTGCTGGACTACCTGATCCCGCAACTGGGAGACTAGGCCCATGTCGGCGGAAGGTGTACCCCCTTGCAAGCTGGAGCGCTCGCGGGTGAGGCCAGAGATGATCGTGGCCTTCATCTCCATTTCTTTCTTTACACTCTGGTTTTCCGCCTCCAAAGACTGGATGCGTTCCATGCGCGAGTACAGCTCATGCATCGCCGCGTCAAGATGGACCTCGAAGTTCTGCATTGTGTCGGGCTGGCCTTCGAATTTTTCTACTGCGATGTTCTTCAGTGCAGCAAGCGAGCGATGCGCACGATCCACCGTCGACATGAGGCTCTGGCTGCTCTTCCTCCGGATGACGTTCGACTTGAAGCCCGGGGTTGTTGGCGGAGAGGCAGATTTGGATTTCTGAAGCTCCCTTTTGAGCATCTCTACCAGAGCAAGAGCACCTTCATGCTCGGCCTGCAGCTCGGCATACCTTTGGGTCATAATGTGAACACCTTCCTGGTGCTCGGAGAGTAGCTGACGCATGTGCTCCATTTCGAGCGAGTTCGTCTCACTGTTGGACGCCTGCGAGTCCACGGGAATCTCTGCGGCGGGCTCAGAATGGCCGTTAGAGGGTTCTTGCGAAGCAGCAGGCTCCCCGACCAAGGATAACTCCGAGGAGAGTGATTGCGAGAACGAGTGTTGTTTTCCACTCTTCGAGTCGGGGGCCTTCGCATCCTCTAAAAAAGACACTGGCCGAGAGGCAGTGACTGGGGAAATGAGTCCCTGGACGGCAGAAGCCGGATGGCGCGCTTCGTCCGCAGCATCCTGTTTCAGTTTGGCTAAAGCCCTTAGTGCCTCCTCATATTTGGCCTCCAACAGTTCATATTGGTCCACGGTGTTCTCGTGCTGCAGACGCAGGTCCAAGAGCTCTTGGGAGACGGTCTCAAGCTTATCAGCAACGATCTTCGACTCCGTCAGGCTAGGAGTCTGGGCTCGAGACTCTGCACTGGGGTCGGACTCTAAACGGCTTGTTACCCTTTCCAAAACCTCCAAATCAGAGCCATCAAGGTTGGCAGCTGTCGCAGCTTCGACATGTGATTCTTCTTCAATGTCCGGAACGGTTTCTGCGAGATCCTCGTCTGATTCAGGAATCGCCGTTTCGGCAGCTTCGGTCAAAACTTCAAGAGTGGTGGCCCTCTGACGGGAATTGCGGGCGCTTCTCACAGTAGCAGGAGACTCCATTTCCTCCTCGATTTCCTCGTGATTGGCGCCGTTCTGATGGACGTGGTCCAACTCATAGAGAAGACTATCGAGTTTGCCGAGACTCCGCTGACGCTCGATCACATGTTCCAAGCGTTCAACCTCTCGCTGCATAAGCTCCATGTCTTGGTCGGCTTCCGCCAGACGCTCCTCCAGGGTCGAAATGTAATCTTCGCATCCCGCTTCGCTTTCGCGCGCACGGCTGAGTTCTTTGCGGAGCTCCGCAATGATAGCCGTGTATTTCTCCTCGCCCGAAGACTGGCCATCGAGCCGAGACTCCAACTCGTGCATATAGGACTCTGTGCTGGCCTCGCGGTCCATAAGTTTCTGGATGCGTGCTTGCAGTTGGGCATTGACAGTTTCGACATAGGCGCATTTGGTCTCGCGTTCCAGAAGGGTGCTCTCAGTCACCGCCAAGGAGGATCGCGTGTTGGATAAGGAGGATTCAAGGCTTTGGATCGTTTTCTCATACTCGAGAACGACCTGTTCGACGGATTGCGCAAAAGAGTGAGACCGCTTCAGTCGCTCAACAGAGCTCTTCCCAACAGCCGAGGCAACGTCATCTGCCTCTCCATTGGTGGAGTGCTCCGAATCGCGAGCGAGTTCGGAAACGAGTTTGGCATGTCGTTGGCTCAGCGCGTTATAACTCTCTTGTACGTCAAGCAGTTGGTTCTGAAGCTCCTTCTCCCTCTCATTCTGACGCTCAGCCCTCTCCTGCGGTGCAGCAGCTCGTCGGTCATTGTCCTCGGCGATACGGATCTGCTGTCTCAGGAAAGCAACTTCCGCCTTGAGCCTCTCAATTACTGCATGCTTGTCGCTTTCATTGGCAATCTGCTGGATCTGCGGCTTGCTCTGGATAGCCCTCGCCCTCTGTGCGTATTGGACAGTATTCAGGGTCTCACTGAGGTGGAATTCCGCGGGTGTAACACAAGCGATCATATACGTATAAGCATTGCCGCCGAGAGAATCTTGGAGGAGCCGGGTGAGCTTCGAATCGCGGTAGGAGACATGAGCGCCCGATTGACGAGAAGAAAGCTGAGAGATGACCTTTCCCAGGGCAGCTAGACCAGCGTTGATAGATATACCCT